TTACCTAAGTTAAGAAGGCAAACTACCTAAAATCTGCATGTTTATGAGACAGAAAAAAAAGACACCAGCAATCCTACAATCACATAAAACAATTACAGACTTCCATTTTAAACTTACTTGGCAGGACAAGAGTACCTCCCGGGGCAGTTGCTGTCTACCAACCTACTACCTAGGATTAAGAGAATGTGCCTATTATATTACAGGTTGGCCCTCATTAATCTGGCATCGCTGGGACCTGTAGCAAGCCAGATTAGCAAGTTTCCCGGGATTACAGAGTGGTTAGATTAGAATACACTTAATTAACCTAATCAATAGAGACTTTCTGCTACACCTGCCTCATTTTCACCACTGCTTTCTCCTCCACTGGCTTGTTGCTGTGGATTTACAACCATATGCACAATTTCTGAGTCAGTATAATGATGAAATCTGAAATTATGCTAGCTGAAATTAGTGCTGGATTACTGATGGAACTGGATAACTGATTGCTGGATATGGATGGCTGACTTGAAACAGCATTTTAAATCATAGGGAAGTGCTAAACCCATAAAGAACATGCAATATTAGGAAACTAGAAGTAATGGGTTAATCAGTGGGATCTGAGGAAGAGGAATGGGGCTCTAATTCCTTGGATTAAGAGCCCTTTATTTGTATCATATATCCAAGACTGCTTTTTTAAGTATGATTTTAGAACCAACTAGAAGAAATAATCTGCCTGATTTGGTTTTGTCAAACAAGGAATATTGAAAATAACCATAAAGTTAATGAAGAGCTTGAAGGAAAGTGATCACAAATCACCTAATTTCAATATCTGCAAAATTACCTTAATGACAAATTGGAAAAAGTTGTCAAGTAGCCCAAGCCACACTCACTCCAGAGTGAAATTAAGTAAAGACTGAAAGTTAAGACACTTGTGCAACATCTGGTTATCTTTATTGTAGACGTTTTCACCATCCAGTGGCTTTATCAATACTGGATGGCAAAACGTCTACAATAAAGATAACCAGATGTTGCACAAGTGTCTTAACTTTCATCTTGTCGGTATTGTATACCTGTCTTGCACAACTTGTCAGGCACTGCAACATCATGGTATCTTGATTTAGAGGACATCTACTTGACCTTCTTCACGACTTCGACAACTAGCCCATCAATTTGGGAAGGACCTACTTCCACTGGGGAATCCCGCCTACCAGTGACTATGCCCTCGTCTGCTACATGTCCCTATTCACTGACGCCTATATAAGCGCCAGTCTCCTTACCTGTGCTTCAGAATCTCTACAACCATGGTGCTGTAAACACCACCTCCAAGGCTGAGGGACTGATTACCTCATCTTTTGTATATAGTTCTTCTGTTTTCTAATTATGTCCAAGAATCTGTATTGATAAAGCCACTGGATGGTGAAAAGTCTACAATAAAGATAACCAGATGCTGCACAAGTGTCTTAACTTTCATCTTGTCGGTATTGTATACCTGTCTTGCACAAGTAAAGACTGACTAAATGAAAAAAATAGACAATTTTTTTGGGGGGTTTTAAAAAAAGGGGCCTTTTAATAGTGAATCAAAAGAAGGGGTCACTTTTTTGACCAATAAATTCTTTGGTAAAAAATAAGGTTTACCCAAAAAAAGTTGTGAGGAACTAAGGCCAAACCCCAAATGGGGGTTTTGGGGGTCAGGAATTTTAGAAAAATTTTTTTAAGGGGAAAATCGGGGGGGCCCACTTTGTAATTTGATTTAAACTTACGCAAATTTGGGCAAAAAAATTTGGGTACATTTTTTTTTTCGTGGACCCCCATTTTTGAATTAATCCGTTCCAAAAGACCTCCGAAAACCAAAATTTCACGAAAACCAAAACCATTTTTCCCCTAAAAAAATTAATTGAAAACCCCTTTAAAATCTTTTTCCCCGACCCCCAAAAAGTTTTTAACAAATTTTTTTTTTTTTTTTTTTTTTTTTTTTTAAAGAGTTTAAAATTTATAGATTTACATAAAAAAAGAATACAAACCCAATATAAAGCAAAAAAAACATCACATTTAAACCTTTATTGAAGACTTTTTTGGTGTATGCAAAAAACGGGGGGAAGGGGGAGGGGGGAAAAGTTACTATTTTTTTGGGGAAGGAGAATCCCCCCCATAAAGACTTTAGGTACAGATTTCCCTTATCCGGGGTTTAAACTTCCCTTTTTTTTTTTTAAAGGGCATTTGGACCAGCTTGAGAGTCACGGGACCTGGGTTTGCTTAAAAAATTTTGTTCCAGAAAGCATTTGTTTTCTGGGCACCCTCTAAGGTTTTGCCCAAAAGGGAAAAAAGCGTTGCCCCTTTGGGAAACCATGTCGCAGCCCAGGGCCTACAACAGCTTTGCTAGGGTGAGGTCCTCCAAAAAAATTTTTGCCCCTCATTCCACTTTGCATAAATGCCCTTTAAATACTGAAGAAGGCATTTTTTTTCCCCCTCTCCCCTCCCCTCCTCCCCCTCGAAGAAAATTTTCCTCATTGTGGTCTGTTGCCGGTTTGCAGATAAGCTCTTGCAGTTTTTCAGGGGGTTTTAGGTTCAGTGGCCCTGACTCACACCCAAAACCCCAGGGTTTTCCCCCCAAAGTTTGAAATTTAAGTTTCCCCAAAAACAGGCTTTGGGTTTCAAGGTTGTGTGGGGAAGTGCCTTCGCTGGTGTGTTTTTGAATTTTTATCGTTTTTTTCTTGCCCCTTTTTTATCAAAGGGCTGGCACAGCAGCTTTCCCTTTTTTCCCATGGTGGGTTTTTTTAAAAAGTCCACACAAACAAAGCAAAAAATAATGTACGTTTAAAAAATGTTTTGGGATTCCCGGAGGGGAAAGTTCACTCGCCGAAAAAAAAAATGCCCGCTGGGGCTCTTTAATGCGTTTTTTTTGGGGAGGCTTAGTGTGCGCAAGGCTACTGGACATGTTTCCCGTATGGGCTGGGTGAAAACCAAGGGGAAAACACAAAAAAACCCAAAGGGCCACTGTATTTATTGTACACAAGGAGATAAAAAAAAAATCCTAGAAATTTAATAAATTTTACAGGATTTGGGCAAAAAAAATTATGCAAGATCACAACCCAGCCCCAAAAACCCTTAGCTATTTCCCTTCAAAAGGATTTACTTTCAATTGGGTTTTCATACCATAAAATGAAAAAAAGGTTTTAAAAGTGATCTTGCTTACAAAGCAGGAGATGGTTTTTTAGCTTCAACCCTTTTTGAAACTTAATTTAAAAAAAAAATCAAAAAACCATTCAAAAACAATTCAAAAGCCCTCTTGGGAAAGATATTTAATTTTATCCCAAAGGTTTTTCAAAAGAGTGATCTTGATTCTTCCCTTTTCCAAAAATTTCTAAACCCTTAGTAAATGGGAAAGGGTTTTTGCTCTTTAAAGGACCGAGACACAAGAGAAAAGCAGTGGGGGGCAAACACTTGGGTTTTAAAAATTTTTTTATGAAGCTTACCATTACTAGGGAAGGGAAAGTAGCTGCAGGAACAGTGAGGAGATGAAGGTTCCCAGGCAGAAGAAAGGCAGGCTGAATCCTCCTTCCTTAGGACCAAGACAATATTAGTTAGCACAATGACTAAAGTCATTATGTTAAGGAACAATGCTAAAATGATGATTAAGTTAGGGTTGTTTAAAAAAAAAGGGGACATTTACAATACCAGAGTTTTTTGGTAGGTAGAGGATGGGGGGGTGGAATGTTAGGTGTTAATAGGTTTCGGGGATATTACGCTACACTTTCCACTCTCAAACCAAAGGTTACGCTTTTTTCCTCTATCCCAGATACAAGAGTACACTTACCAAATACAACCAGGCACCAGCAGCAGGACCAATACACATGCCCAAACCAGACACTGTTTCCAGCATTCCATTCACAGCGTTCATGTGTCTGGAGAGAGATTTTTGCATAGACTAAGAAACTGATCTGTTGATAAAGTTGCTTACAATCACAATATTCAAAATTTTGATTTTAGAAACAAGTCCCAAAAATCTCTGATAAAAATCAGACATTTAAGAAGGATCAAAGGAGCACAATGAATTAAAAGTATTTTGTTCTCTAATGAGCTTCTACAGCTACCTTAATGATGGCAAAACAGATGTGAAAAG